TGGCCTCGAACTCACAGAGATCTGCCTGCCTCTGCCTCCTGAGTGCTGGGATTAAAGGCATGCTCCACCACCGCCCGGCTGCGAGCATTCTTAATAATGCTTTGCGAATGTAGTGTTTTCATTCTAGATTAAAATCTGCCGGTGGAATTGCACTTGGGTAGGTATCTATCTGCCTTTCTGACAGACTTGTCAGGCTGTTTTCCAAGGTGACATATTTAATATTTTCACTAACTCTAAAAATCGTATATCCTTTGCCAGCGTTTGGCCTTGTTGGTCTTACATTTAGCCCCTGGCGGCTTTGTAACTACCCCATTGTAAGGGTCTGTTGGTTTGGTTTTGGTTTGGGTGTTTTTTGTTTTGTCCCCCCCCCCCCCCCCCCCCCCCCCGAGACAGGGTTTCTCTGTGTAGCCCTGGCTGTCCTGGAACTATCTCTGTAGACCAGGCTGCCCTGAAACTCAGAGATCCACCTGTTTGTGCCTCCAAGTGCTGGGATTAAAGGCGTCGCCACTACCTGGCCTTACTGTGGTTGTATTTTGCATTTCTCTAGTCACCTACGCTGTGGATCATTTCACAAGCTTATTTCTTGTTTGTGTTTTATAAAACATCTTCGAATCTTCCGTGTTTATTTAAATTGGTTCTCATTAAAACAGAACTGTAGTCGTTGTCGTGCATTAAAACTTTGTCTTACGGTTTGTTTTTTGTTTTAGTTTATTTTTAGTGTGGGGTTGAACCCAGGGATGTGTGTACACTAGGCAAAACTCTTATCACTAGGCTGCATCTTAGCCTCCACATTAAAGTTTCACAATTCCGTTGTTAAAAGAGCAGGAAAGGGTAGGTTTATTGCTGTACATTAATTCAAATGAAAAGGGCCTGAAGTTAAGAGTTCCCATTCATCAGATAGCTGAGCAGCAGACTTGATGGTAGTTTGAAGGAGCCTCCAGTTAAATGGAAGGGGAGAGAAATAGCTCTGCTGTTGTAATTTCATACAGTTACTGAGTATTTACTGAGTGTCTATTTTAAGTAGGTGCCAAAGATACAGAAAACTAGACAGGTTCCTGCTCTTACATAGCTTGCTGTCCAGTGGAGGAACATATAGTATAAAGGCCCTGAGATGGAGACAGGAATTGACACTGTGGATGTGGGTTAGAAAGGACAGCCGTGTGGGAACACACTTGGGTGGCTGGATGACTATTTACACATGGGTTAAATCCCTGTGTGTGTTCCAGGGATCAAACTCAGGTGTGATGACAAGCACCCTTCCCCACTACGCCATCTTGCCAGCCACAGGATGTTAGTGTTTTGCGTTGTTTTGTTTTTAATTTTTTGTCCTTGTGCATGTCGGTGTGTGGGTTTGTGCATGTGATTGCAGTGCCTGTGGATGTCAGAAGAGGGCATTAGATTCCTTGGAGCTGGAGACACAGGTGCCTGTGTGTAAGCTGCCTGATTTGGGTGCTGGGAACTGAACTCTGGTCCTCTGGAAACACAACGGGCTCCTAACCAGTGAGCCATCTCTCTTGCTCTCAAACTTAGGGTTTTATATCGAATGATTTTATGTTTATTGGGAAGCTATCCCAGAGTTTTAAACAGAGAAACGACATGATCTGGTTTTCATTTAGCTAATAAACAGAAATGGCTGCATGTTTGCAAAAAGATTGATAAGGAAATCACTACGGTTATCCAAAGACAGCGGAACCCTACTGGTTAAGAATTCCTAAGGGGAGTCACGGCGGACCAGCTGTGGGTGACAAGATGTTCGTTATGTAGGATATTGGTTCTCACGTTCTGTCTATTCTACTGATAGGAGCTAAGGGAAGTGGCTGACTGAGAAAGGCCTTACATTTGAGCTAGAGAATGCAGGGTTAACTGTATCACACCACTGCTCAATGCTGTAGAAATTCTCCCTCAGGAGTAGAAAAAAATAGCTTGCTAGAGAGTTTGGTGTTGAATCTTAACAGTCATTGGGCAGTTATACAGGGTTTTTTGTTGAAACTGTGGAAGCTGGCTAGGTGAGGCAGTACCAAGGAGCAGAAACCTGTGAGGGTGAGAAATGCAATGGCTTGAAGGTTCTTGAACTGGCTGGAATAAAAGTATTGGGCTTAGAGTAATTGATTCTCTAAGTGTGGATCAGGGTTAGGTAGGAACCCAATGAGGGCCTTCAAATGTATAATATCAAAACTATACACAAGTGTATAGATTATAATAACCCAGGCATGGTGATGCATACCTATAATCCCAGTACTCACATGGGAAAGGTAGGAGGATCTAGAATTTAAGGTCATTCTCATCTGCAAAGTCATTGGAGGCCAGCCTGGGTTACATGAGACTCTGTCTCAAAATATAAAAGAGGGGTGTGTGTGTGTATACTTCTGTTTCCCTGTGTATTAATTACTATGTATAAGTATTCAGATCTATTGGATATACACTTACCTGAGAAATACATGTTTAAAACTGGGTTATACTCTTGCTGATTTTACAGTCCAGTGCTTTCAAATAATGCAGACACATGGTTCTATCTGGTTGAGCTGCCATTCAGCATTCTTTTGTGTGTTTGGTAGTGAGCCCAGCCGTACCTAGCTAATGCACCTTTGCGCTACCTTGAGTTTTTAGGCCTCTTTGATGTTCAAACAATAGTGAAATGAGTAGAGAACTGCCTCAGAGAACATGAGGTGACAAACGTGGAATTCAGAGTATGATGTGGCAGAAACTGTGGTCTGTTGAACCTCTAAGGGAGTCATCTGGAAGGTTGGAAGTTTGCAGGCCTCTTGGAGGAGCAGCTTTAGAACACTGGACCTGGCAATCAGAGTACTTGGGGTTATTGACTGCTTCCAGACTCGATCTCTCACAGCCAGCTGGATTATGGATCCTGGGGAAGCAGGAGGCCTACCGGGTGGGAGTGAGAATACAAACACTTGACTTAGTTTGGCTACAGACTTTTGAATGAAGAGTAGTGGGATTTTCATCATTCATTTGAGCAGGGGCTCAAGTGCTGTGGGTGACTCTAAAAGTAATCAACGTGGGTACTGTATTCTGGGTGGGAGACTGGAGCTGGGGATGTTGTTCAGTGACAGATGGTTGCCTGGATGCACAAGGTCCTAGTCAATTCCCAGTACCATAAAACAACAACAAACGAGGCTTAGGGACCATCATGAAATGATGTGGCTGGGAGGAGAAGGAGGGTTAATAAGGGGATCTCAAGGCTGGAGACATCCCAGGAAGACCTGCTAGGTAGGAAGCTGGGATGCTGAGGCAAGTCCAGTGAGAATCTTGTACGCCTGCGGATCGTCATGGGCTGTAGGAGGAACTACGTTGTAGTTATTATGGTGATTCATGCAAGGTGATGATGATTCTGTTGAGGAAAAAGGTGAATTGGAGAGGTTTGGGGCTGCTTGACTTTGGAGACAAAAGGCTAGTCAGTCTGAGACTTGGTCCTGGAGATGGCCTTTTGAATTTCATTCAACAAGCATATCTAGATGCTTGATTGAGATAGAGCAGTGCACACATAAATTCTTCACACAGTTTACATTCTAGTAGACTGATTGTATAACGAAAATATGAACAGTGAGTTGGATACTGGTGTGAAAGCAGTAATGGAGTCTGTGATGTGTCAGTGGTGGTTGGAGTTAGTTGAGTGGCAGGTAAGACTCCACATGAAGAGATGTGATGATGAGTAAGAACCTTGCAGGAGAGGGAACAGTCATGTGGGTGATAAAAACAAAGAGCAGCCCGACTGAGACTGCCGGGCTTTGCACTGGGAGTCCAGTGGGCTTGAGGAATGGCGAGGTCAGAATGAGTGGCAAGAGAACCACCAGATGAGCTTAGATTTTCCAGATCCTACCTCAGACTGCTGTGCAGCTTGTATGTTTTCTGCGAATGGTAGTTCACAGTGGGACAGCGGAGGATTTTTTGGTTATTTCTTTTAAGGTATGTGCATGTGTCTATGGACTAAATGTACGGACCAGAGGCATTGGTCCCCCTGGAGCTGGAGTTGTTGGCAGATGTGAGCCACCCACATGGGCGCCAGGAACTGAACTCAGATCCGTGCAAGAGGAAAATATTCTCTTAACTGCTGAGCCACTTCTTAAGCCCTTTTGTTTGCTTTTGAGTCAGGATCTCATGTAACCAAGGCTAACTTCATACTGACCGTGTAGCTCAGGCTGGCCTGGAATTCTTGTTCCTTCTGTTTGGCCTCCTGGAGATAGAATTACAGTCTGAGCCACAACTTGGCATTTTTTGTCTGTTTGGTTTTTGAGATAGAATTTCACTTTGTAGCCATGGGTAGCCTGGAACTCTGTATGTTATCTAAGGTAGCCCTTGGACTTAGAGCAGTCCTGCTTCTGCTTCCTGTGTGCTGTGATTATAGACAGTGCCACCAAGCCTGGTGTGACTGTTTTGCCAGGATAAATTTGGTTGCTATATTAATAGCCTGTTGGGGTGGAGATAGGCAGTGGAAGTAGGGACGGCACAGGTTAAGAGATCAGCTGAAGACCATTGCTATTTCTAGGCAACATAAATAGCGGCTTCGACTAGATCATGACATGGGAATGGCGAGGAGTAGACTTGAACAGCTGACTAGAGATTAGAAGAGTCAATGGGTAGGATGGATCCCAACTTGCAAGATGTAGGGCCCCAGAGTTGGAGGGCATCGTTATCCGCAGAGACTTTTGGGGAGCAGTATCTGGACAGTGGCTCCACTGGAGACTGTTGGAATTGAAGTATGGCCTGGTTCTGACTTTGGGGCAGGCGCTGAGAGAGCAGAATGAGATTGATTATTCTCTGCAGTGGTTAAGACTCAAGTCCCGGGTCTGGACAGCATTAGTGAGATTAATTTGGAGCCAGAGTTTGTTATCACAACTGTGTCCTGTGCTGTTGAGCTCACTTAGGGCTCAGGGGTGTGGAGGCTGCCTGTGTGAAGCCTGCGGCTTTCCTGGGCTGGGAACTATAGTCAGTGAAAGATGGAGGAGAGACCCTAATGCTTGACCAAGCTCTTTCCCCCCACCCAGATGGCGCACTGTGTGACCTCGGTTCAGCTGTCCGTTTCCTGTGACCATCTCATTGACAAGGACATCGGCTCCAAATCTGACCCACTCTGCATCCTTTTACAAGATGTGGGAGGGGGCACCTGGGCTGAGGTGAGACGGACCTTGAAGGCTACGGTCATTGAGGGAGGGTAGGATTATGTTTTGGGGTGACAGGTTTGTAACTGATGCTTAGTGACCTCTTCCCACAGCTTTGCCGGACTGAGCGAGTCCGGAACTGCTCAAGCCCCATGTTCTCCAAGACTCTGCAGATTGAGTACCACTTTGAGACTGTCCAGAAGCTACGCTTTGGAATCTATGACATAGACAACAAGACACCAGACCTGGGGGATGATGACTTTCTAGGGGGAGCTGAGTGTTCCCTAGGTCAGGTATGTAGGGTCAGGGATTAAGAAGTGTACCATGAAGCCGGGCGGTGGTGGCGCACGCCTTTAATCCCAGCACTCGGGAGGCAGAGCCAGGCGGATCTCTGTGAGTTCGAGGCCAGCCTGGGCTACCAAGTGAGTTCCAGGAAAGGTGCAAAGCTACACAGAGAAACCCTGGAAACCCTGTCTCGAAAAACCAAAAAAAAAAAAAAAAAAAAAAAAAAAAAAAAGAAGTGTACCATGAAGTAACCTCGGAGGTTGGATGTGCCAGTCAGGCGGGACCTAACTCTGTCTGAGGTCCTGACGCCTCTCTCACCTCATTTTTCCCCAGATTGTGTCCAGCCAGACTCTGACTCTACCCTTGATGTTGAAGCCAGGGAAGCCTGCCGGCCGGGGAACCATCACTGTAAGGAATAAAGCCTAGGCTGGGAAGCAATTTATGTGATGAATAATTCATGAGGTGATACAGTCCTCTCTACCCAGATTTCAGCCCAGGAGTTAAAGGACAGTCGTGTAGTAACCATGGAGGTGGAAGCTAGAAACCTAGATAAGAAGGTGTGTCTGGAAGGAGGCCCTGGGGATCCAAGAATGAAGGGGACAGAGGGCTGACACGGTGGCTGTCTTTCTGAGTCTTATAACTGGGGTCTCTCTGGCATCGGCAGGACTTCCTAGGAAAATCTGATCCGTTCTTGGAGTTCTTCCGACACGGTGATGGGAAGTGGCACCTGGCATACAGATCTGAGGTGTGGCTCCTGGTGTTGGTTGGCCTGGCATAGGAAGGAGAGAATCTCCAGGGTTTGTGATTAGCAAGTTTGGGAACTGAGGGAGAAAGACTGTTTGTGGGTAGCAGAGGGTGGGAGCTCTTCCTGGACCAGGCCAGAGCTCACTGTCCTCCACCCCAGGTAGTCAAGAACAACCTGAACCCCACGTGGAAGCGCTTCTCAGTTCCTCTTCAGCATTTCTGCGGTGGGGACCCCGGCACACCCATCCAGGTGAGGAGTTTACCTTAATAGACTGATCAAGGGAACAGATCCTGGGAAGGGACTTACTGCCTGCCCTGTGACTCCTTTATACATACACGCACCCTCTCTCAGGTACGCTGCTCAGACTATGACAGTGATGGGTCACATGATCTCATTGGTACATTCCACACCACCTTGGCCCAGCTTCAAGCAGTCCCGGTAAGTATTGACTGTTTACAGTGCTTTGGTGGGCCTAGAAGGCTGCTGCCCAGGGGGACGTCTGGCCAGTGTGGCTTAGGTCCTTGGCTGATGCTGTGGTGGTTTCTTCCTCCTGACCAGGCTGAATTTGAATGTATCCACCCTGAGAAGCAGAAGAAAAAGAAAAGCTACAAGAACTCTGGAACTGTCTGTGTCAAGACTTGCCGGGTAAGACGGTAGCCCATGTGAGCCATGTTCTGAGCCTGTTTGGACCCCATGATGCTAGCCCTCTATTAGCCACAGCCTAACCCCGGTTTCGCTTGCAGGTTGAAACAGAGTATTCCTTCCTGGACTATGTCATGGGAGGCTGCCAAATCAACTTTACTGTAAGTTGCTGTCCTAGAGACAAGGGAACAGGCCTTAAGGCTAAGGTAGCCTTTATTTACCTCCATTCTTGGTCTCTTCCCAGGTGGGTGTGGACTTCACTGGTTCCAATGGGGACCCTTCCTCACCTGACTCCCTGCACTATCTGAGCCCTACAGGAGTCAACGAGTATCTGACAGCACTGTGGAGTGTGGGCAGTGTGGTTCAAGACTATGACTCGTGAGTTCTAGGTTCTGGCCGCTCCCATGCCCTATACACTTCTCAGCCTCTGGACTCAGAATCCCTTCTCTGCTTCTTTTACAATTCACTGTCCTCCACAGAGACAAACTATTTCCAGCATTTGGATTTGGGGCCCAGGTACCCCCTAATTGGCAGGTAAGCTCTCTTCTTCCTTCTCTCTGTTCTCGTTTTTAGTATCAGGATCCTAATCCCAGAGTCTGTGATAAATTTATTTATTGCTTGGCATCCAGCTACAAGGAGAGATATGGGGATCTGTTCTTGCAGGCAGGTATACAGGTATACACAGGGCCAGATTGCTCCTGTGGGAACCCTGCCATATATCAGAATGCCCTTGTTTTGATTTTGTATTTTGGGGCTTGAACCCAGGGCCTTAAACATGCTAAACATGCACTCTACCGACTACAGTTGAGCCCCTCAAGAGTGTGCTGCGTCATGGCACAGAACGGTCTGTGGGGGTGGTTAACCTACAGAGATGGCTCAGCAGTCGAACTCTTGCTGCTCCTCCAGATGACCAAAGTTCAGTTCCCAATTACCCACGTACGATGGTTAGCTACCTGTAACTCGGCTCCAAAGAGAACCCAATGCATTTTTCTGATCGTGTTGGGCATGGACACACACAAACAAATCTCAATAAAAAGTCTGAGCCAGGCATGGTGGTGCAGAACTTTAATCCCAGGACTCGGGAGGCAGAGGCAGGCCAATCTCTGTGAGTTCAAGGCCAGCATGGTCTATGTAGTGAGTTCCAAGACAGCCAGGTCTACACAGACCTTGTCTGGGAGCTAAAAAATGGTGGTGGTGGTGGGGGGGGGGGGATTCAGGATGCTAAAAAGGAGGGGAAGGTAGGGAGGAAGATTCTCATTTTTTCTCTCTTTTTGGTTTTTTGTTTGTTTGTTCTGGCTGGCCAAAGTGTGCAGAGGTCCCAGTGCCTCTCTGTTCTGGGATTAAAACTGCGTACTCCTATACCTAGCCCGTTTTGTTTTTTTTCCTTTTTGAAATAGGTCTCACTTTATAACTCAGACTAGGTTTAAACTTGCAATTTTCTAGTCTTTGTTTCCTGTGTGCTAATTTTAGAGGTGTGTAACCCACACCTGGTTCAGTCATTTTCATTTTTGCCCTCAGGTCTCACATGAATTTGCCTTGAACTTCAATCCCAGTAATCCCTATTGTGCAGGTAAGTCCGTATTCTGCAGTGTGAAACAGTTCCACCCCCGAGGAGTGAGCTTTCATGGGGAGAGAAGATGAGGGGCTAGAGCTAGCCCAGTGGAGTTGAGTTCATCTTATTACTGAAATGACGGGGGGGCAAGTTATTTACCTCTGTGTGCTTTGGTTTTAAAATAAAACAAATTTCCTGGGCCTAGTGACAGAGCTCTATATTCCCAGCTACTTAGGAGGGTGAGGCAAGAAAATCAAAAGTTCAAGGCCTGCCTGGGCAACTTGGTCTCAAATGAAAAGATGGAAAAAGGCTGTGTGGGCTGTCACTGACCTTGCTGTGCTAAGGATGGAATCAGGAATTTCATATATACCAAGCACGCACTCCGTCACTGACCACATCCGCAGCCCAGTGGAGGCAGATGTTTTGTGGGAACTCCCCGAGCTGTTTGTACAGACCCAAAATTTGGGGCTGAAGAGGTGACTCAGCTGTTAAGAGCACTGACTCCTCTTCCAGAGGACTTGGTTTTAATACTTAGCACCCACATGGCAGCTCACAGCGATCTGAAACTCCAGTTCCAGGGCAACTGACACCCTCACATAGATACACATGCAGGCAAAACACCAATGCACATATCCCTTTACACTAAATACTTGAAGTATGTTTCCTAAAATCAAGGATTTTTTTTTTTTAATAATTCTATGTTACTGGAGATTGAAACTAGGCCCTTGTATATGCTACGTAATTTGCTTTACCAGAGAGCTATATCCCAGCCCCTTATTACTTTTATTAAATTTTTGTTAGCATGTGATTATTTTCATTTTGACTTTTTTTTTTGCATTTGAGTCAGGTTCTTGTTATAGCTCACACTAGTCTCAAACAGATTCTTCTGTTTCCACCTCTCAACTGTTGCGATTATAAAAGCCCATGCTATTTGCATCCATGTATATCTTCTTATTACACCCCTAGCCCTCCTCATCCACCTTGTTGCTGGTTCCCTCTCCTATATAGTACCCTGATCTGCTTCATGTCACATATTTCATTATTCCATTGCATTGTTTTGTTTTGTTTTGTTTTTGAGACAGGGTTTCTCTGTGTAGCCCTGGCTGCCCTGGAACTCATTCTGTAGACCAGGCTGGCCTTAAACTCAAGAGGTCCACCTGTCCCTCCTGAGTGCTGGGATTAAAGGAGTGAGCCACCACTGCCTGGCTCTATTACCTTATCTTGTGGGTCCCTCCCTTTATAAAAGACCCCCCCCATAGTCCCCTTTCTTTTATAACCTCAGAATATATTACATACATATGTTTTTTAAATTTAAATTCTACGTCTTCTCAGTCTGCCAAACTTTGTTTTTTTCCTTCTTGAGACAGTCTCTCTCTCTGTACTCTGGCTGGGATGGCCTAGAACTATGTAAGCTAGCCTCAAACTTGGTGACCCAGGCCAGGGGTGGTGTTCACGCTTTTAACCCCCCAGCATTTGGGAGGCCAAGGCAGGTAGATCTTGCCTTGTAGGATTAGTTCTCCCCCTCTAACTCTGTAGTTCTGTGGATGGAACTCAGGTTGCTGAGCTTGTACACCAAGCCCGTTAGCTGCTGAGCCACCTCGATGGCTGTATGTGCTTTTGAAGGTCTTCCTGTGTGTGCCAGGCTCTCTTGACGCTCAGTTCCCAAAGTACTGATACAACAGGCTCTACTACTCCCCAGTTCAGAAAATAACTATTTTGTTTTTTTTTTATTTTTTTGAGACAGGGTTTCTCTGTGTAGCCCTGGCTGTCCTGGAACTCTCTCTGTAGACCAGGCTGGCTCCTACTCAGAGATCCACCTGCCTCTGCCTCCCGAGGGCTGGGTTCAAAGGTGTGCATCACCACCTCCCGACTCAGAAAATAACTCTTAATCTGGGTTTTAATTCAAGATATTACTTATATCGAGTGCTGTCTTCTTTGCCCCTTAGTTTCATTTGTTGGAGAGCGCTGTGCCTTGAGAGATAAGGGTGAAATATTCCCAGGTTTCCACTTCTGGGCCTAGGTGGGCAGGTCTAAGGTCTACGACTTGACAGCATTTTCTGCTGTTCTTTGTAGGCATCCAGGGCATTGTAGACGCCTACCGTCAAGCGCTGCCCCAAGTCCGTCTTTACGGCCCTACCAACTTTGCACCCATCATCAACCACGTGGCTAGGTTTGCAGCCCAGGCTGCACAGCAGAGGACTGCCTCGGTAAGAGCTGGGGATAGCTGTGGTGCTGAGGTGGCGAGGACTGGATACTGAGGGGTATCTCGTCAGTGGGGATGCATGGCTGGTTTGTTGGGAGGGGTTGGGAAAGAGGATTTGCATCAGTACAGGAATGAACTTGTCCCTAGCAATACTTCGTACTGTTGCTTTTGACTGACGGCGCTGTGACAGACGTGGAGGCCACATGTGAGGCTGTGGTCCAAGCCTCAAAGCTGCCCATGTCCGTGATCATTGTGGGCGTGGGTAGTGCTGACTTTGAGATCATGGAGCAGCTGGATGCTGATGGTGGCCCTCTTCGTACACGCCGTGGAGAAGCAGCTACCCGTGACATAGTGCAGTTTGTGCCTTACCGACGGTTTCAGAATGTGAGTAAGGTTTGGGGGTAGGGTTGAGGTCCAGTAGATAAAGCTTTTTCATCAAAGTCTGGCAAGGTTGAGTTTTGGACAAGGTGTAGACCCTGGGAGACTTGCAGGCCCTTGTTGACTTTGCCTTTCTTCTGACAGGCTCCACGGGAGACACTGGCACAGACTGTACTTGCAGAAGTGCCCACTCAGCTGGTTTCCTACTTCAAAGCCCAAGGTTGGGCCCCATTCAAAGACCCTCCAGCTCCAGCCACGGGCCCTGCACAGCCCCCCGAGGCATAGGTTTGCTCGGAGAGTAGGCTATGGTCAGTCTACTTCAGCCTGCACCATCCTCTGGGCCATGGACCAACCCTGTACATTCTTCCCACTTTATAGTTGATACTTTTATACTTGCTTCTGCTATTGCTGCTCTTGACCTACCTACCTGTCCCTGACACCATTTCATTCAGGAAAGACTAGTATAAAGATCACCCCCGTCAAAGGGTTACAGGCTGGTATAGATAGCCTTGCCTACTTTGGCCTTGTGTCTTAGTCTGTTGACCTTGGGCTTGTTGAGTGAAAGGTCCCTTTGGTCTGATAACCCTATCCAAGCAAATTGGGTCTATTCACTCCAGAAGCATACTTTGAAAACACAAAGCTTGAATATAAAGTAAGCGTATGCTTGTCCCTTCCTCTGGGTGGAGCTGAGCTGAGCTGGGCACGCCTCATGAGAGGTGGCAGAGTTGAGAGACACGCTTCACAGCAGAGGGAGGGCTGTTAGACTCTTGTGCTAGCTCCGTTCCTTGATGCTTTGGGGAACACTTGTTGTGTAGCCCAGACTTGCCTGCAGTTTACCATCCTGTCTCAACCTGGAATTATAGGCATGTGCTACCATGTCTGGTTTACAGTCCTATTTTTTTTTTTTTTGACATAAGATCTCATGTAGCAGCTGGGTGGTGGCGCACGCCTTTAATCCTAGTTCTTGGGAGGCAGAGGTAGGTGGATCTCTGAGTTTGAGGCCAGCCTGGTCTATAGAATGAGTTCCAGGACAATCAGTGCTGTTACAACAGAGAACCCCTGTCTTGATTTAAAAGGGTCTCATGTAGCTCAGGCTGGTCCTCCTACCCCCACCTCCCAAGTGCTAGGATTATAAGCATGCCCACTGTGTCCAGCTTAATACCTTTTTATATTATTAGAGATTTAACGTGTATGTTCATTGTGGAAACACTTTATAGGAGGGACACATCGTAACCACATTGCCCAGGCTGGCTTCAGATTCTTTGTACTCAAGGGATCCTCCTTCCTCAGCTTCGAGAATAGATGGAACTATGGTAGACTTGGTGCCTGCTTTAGAAAAACAGATTTTCTTTTGCAGGGAGAAGGGAACTTTTAAATGCAGATTAAAATTTCACTCAATCTGCCAGTTAGTCATGGTTATGCACAACTTGAATCCCAGCACCTAGGAGGCAGAGGTATTTCAAAATGTTTTTTTAATCTAATCGGACATTGTTTCAAAACTGGGTGTGGTGCATACCTTTAATCCCAGCACTCAGAAGGTAGAGGCAAGTGGATCTCTGAGTTTGAGATCAGCTGGGTCTGCAGAGCAAGTTCCAGGACAGCAAGAGAAACCCTGTGTCAAAAAAAGGACTAAAGGAAAAAAATTGTCTCAAATATCAGTATCATAAAAATAGATAATGAGCCAGGCAGGTGGTGCACACCTTTAATCACTCAGGAGGCAGAGGCAGGCAAATCTTTCTGAGTCAAGGCCAACTTGGTCTACAGAGTGAGTTCCAGAACAGCCGGGACTGTTACACAGAGAGAAAAAAAAAATAGGGGGAAAAACAGATAAAGGGAACAAAGCTTGGTGGCTCATGGCTGTAATGCCAACACTTGGAAGTCTGGGGCAGGTAGACTGCTGAGAGTCTGATGTAGACTTAAATTATACTATGAATTTCAGATCAGATTTTTAAGAATCTTTAAAAAGAAATCACATACACTGTATCTGGTTTGCATTGATTTTGGATGCCTTATCAAAGCTGCCTTGTCGCCTATGCTATTCTTTTTTGTTTTTTTTTTTTTTTTTTTGGTGTTTCGAGACAGGGTTTCTCTGTGTAGCTTTGCGCCTCTCCTGGAATTCACTTGGTAGCCCAGGCTGGCCTCGAACTCACAGAGATCTGCCTGGCTCTGCCTCCCGAGTGCTGGGATTAAAGGCACTATTCTTATAATAACCAGAATTTAGTAATCTCCTGAGATTCCTTTTGTTCTGCTTACATAGATATTTGAGGAATTGGTTCCTAGATGTGGAAATGATAGATCACAGGACATTTACAGTTTCAGCAGGTATCACAGGTAGCCTTCTGTGAACGCTATAGTCCCACTCATTCCATTTGTCAACTCACACTCATCTTGAACTTCCTTCCATATGTAGACGAGGTATTGTTGATACATTTACTTCCTCCTCAGCAGCCTGCTCCTGGGCTGTATGTGTCAGAGTCTTGATTGTTCTTTTCAATATGTTCAAAGTCTGTTCCCTCAGCTGTTACTGTTTCATGTTTTTATATGCAATATGAAAATTTTATTTTTTATATATGCTAATCTGCTTTTTAAAATGTATCCGTATATCAATAATAATAAATACTCCTCAGTGGCTGCATTTGTTTTTTGTCTTGTTTTGTGTTTGGTGCTGGGAATTGTGCCCACTAGGGTCTAAGTCATGCTAGAGTCAGGCTCTACCACTTACTTAGCTTATCTTTGAGTATCTGTAGTAGGCTCTAGAGTTCAAAGACATCTTCTACTACACAGTCTGAGGATAGCCTGGGCTATTTAAGACCCTGTTCAAAAAAGAGAGGACCTTAGGAGATTGCTAACTGGATTAAGTGCTTGCTTATAGAAGCCAAACCACCTGAATTCTATCATAGAGTCCATGTAAAGGTGGAAGGAGAAAATTAACCCCCACACAGTTGTCCTCTGCCGTCCACACTAGCAATGGTACGCACACTCATTAGACATGTATGAAAAGTGTGAACAGAAGCTGAATGAGGTGGTTCATGTCTATGGTCCTAGCACTGGAGTGCCTGAGGCAGGAGTATTGCCTTGAACTTTATGCTAACCTGGGCTACACAGTGAGTTTAGCCCAGCCTTAGATGGGGAAAAAATGAAGTCTTAAGGATTTTGCTTCCTATGGTTAAACTGCCCTCTGTGTATGTGTACTGAGAATTGAATCCAGGACCATGGGCATTTGCAGACTAGGTAAACTGATGCTCTGCTAGCTCTTATCAATCCACCTGTCCCTGCCTCTGCCTCCCAAGTGCTGGGATTAAAGGTGTGCACTACCATGCCCAGTTTTTAATCCTATTTTTTTCTTTTTGGTTTTTTTGAGACAGGGTCTATGTAGTACTGACTCCTGGGCTCAAACTCAGAAATTCCTTACCTTTGCCTCCTGAGTGCTGGAATTAAAGGCATCTGGACACCACCATGCCCAGCCCTTAGTTCTATTTTTTTTTTTTTCTCGAGACAGGGTTTCTCTGTAGCTTTGCGCCTTTCCTGGAGCTCACTTGGTAGCCCAGGTCGGCCTCAAACTCATAGAGATCCGCCTGGCTCTGCCTCCCGGGTGCTGGGATTAAAGGTGTGCGCCACCACTGCCCTGCTCCTTAGTTGTATTTTTAATCTTAGTTTTAATTTGTTCCTACTACATTAATTTGTATGTGTGCATGTGTATGTATCATGGTACACATGGAGGTCAAAAGACAACCTGTGGGACTTGGCTCTCTATTGTATGGGTCCTAGAGACTGAATTCAGCTCATCTGACTTGGGGGCAAGCCCCTGTAACCCACTTGAGTCATCTTAATTAATGACCCTTAATTTTTTTTATTACATTTAAATTTTTTGTATGAAAGTGCCACAGCATGTGGGAGGTCAGAGGATAGATTTGTGGAGTTGGTTCTCTTGTTCTACCATGTGGGTCCCGGGGATTAAGTTCTAATTGTCAGGCTTGGTGGCCTTTCCCTCCTGAGACATCTCTTTAGTCCTAGCCTTGGCTTTTGTTATTGAATTTTTATAGGTTTGGGTGTTTTGCCTGCTTGAATGTGTGCCTAGTGTCTGAGAAGGCTAGAAGAGGGTTTCAGATCCCCTAGAACTGGAGTTACAGGTGGTTGTGAGCTGCTGTGGGTGCTGGGAATCAATCTCATATCCTGGAAGAGCAGCCAATGGTCTTAACCACTGGAACCATCTCTCCAGCCCCCAAACCTTAGGTTTTGAGAATACTTGGTGTGGGCACTTATGTCTTCAAATGACAAAATACTATCTATCACCCTAATTTAAATAGGTGGGTAAGTGTTCTGCCACACATACCAGTAGGAAGGATCCCAACATCCAAGGTAAATAATGCTTTTCTTTGCTCATACTAGTTTCTCTTTTCCACCCTTAGGAACTCTAATTATTTGACTGCCTATTTGCATGCTCCCCCTCCCCCAGTTCTTTTAACCATTACAGTGAGGATTTGTGAGTCTGATGAACATCAGATGACGTACACCTAAGGCTAGTAATGACTAACTGCATGAGGGCTACCGGGCCTAGGTCAGCTTTGACTCAAGGATTCCTAGGAATTTCCAGATCTTAGCTTTTCAGTGTTTGCCAGAGGAGAGTTTCCCCTCTATCTGTACATAGGAGGAACTGAGGACATTTCCAGGATTTGGGGGTAGGGATTGAACACAAGTATGGCTTCAGCTGCCTGCCTGGTAGTTCTCCAGTTGAAAAGGGATGTCTCCTGAGGAAGGCCCCATTCTTGTGTTACTTTTCACTAGTACAAGTAGAGGTTGTCTGAGCAATTTTCTCTGGACTGAGGATCAAGCTGCACCTTGTACAGTATAGAAAAACTACAACATTGTCTCTTGCATATTGTAGGCACTGTAAACACCAGCTGCTGCCACTATACCAGGAAAAGAGGATGTGTTGAGGCCATATTCTGCCAGACTGACCTGCCATAGGCAGCCAGAGCTTTCCCCAAAAGGTGACCTCTCAGCACTGATGCGGTTTTCTTTAGCACAAATCTCAATTCTACTCCAACCATCAGCATTTTTAATGGGGCCCCCCAGTGACCCCTGTGGCATTGTCCTCTGCCCACTCTGAGATCCGCACACCATGGGCACGGACTCGATATAAGCATGTGAAACGTGGATGGCCCCAGTTGCTTAGAATCTGAATCTTCACCTTGGGGAAGGCTGACGGAGGGTCATTCTGGGGAAACAAACAATCGTGCCAACAACTGCTCTAAGACTGTCCCCCATCAATATCCACCGCCCCATTTTAGCACTCTCACGCCCAGAGATACACACACCTGTAGGTGGAAAGTCTGAATCTCAGATTTCTGCACATCAAAGATGAATTTTCCCAAGAGCACTTCAGTCTCATCATCAACTTGGAGCCCCTGGTGGGTGAAGAGTGTATGGAGGAACGGTGAGGCACAGAGGCAAGGGAGAGAAAACAGCTTTGTTCAGGATCTTCAATGTGTTCAATAGCTGTATGTGCTCTGGCTTGTGTTCTCATGTAGGATATGTAGTGTGGAATGTAGACTCGAAGAAACCAGCAACAGCCAGGGTGTCCTAGCACCAGGGATGCTAAGCCAAGACTGTAAGTTTAAAGTCAACCTGGGCTGCATAGAATGACGCTGTTTTAAGCAAACAAACCAGGCTATTATAAAGTTGTTAGCAGGGCTGGAAAGATGGCTCTTGCTGGGGACCCAGGTTGGGTTCCCAGCAACCACGTGGTGGCTCACACTGTTCTTAGCTCCAGTTCCAGAGGAATCTACAACCCTCTTCTGACTTTCTGGGGCACTAGGAATGTACATGATGCACATACTGGCAAAAACACTCATATCCTTTAAAACATTTTTTAAAGAAATCACTCCTTTTAAGAGCACTATCATCCCTTGTCAGACAACAGTACTTCATAGGTTTTACAGATGCAGTGAAATAATGTGTATCGAGCTTGGCAAGCCAAACAAATCTGGATTTAGTTATGCTCATTACAACCTGTAGCAGCCTGTGAGTATGTGCAGTTCACAGATGAGCAAATAATGACAAATGCTGGTAATGGTTCTCACCACTGCCGAGGGTTTCTGAACAAAATTCCCCACCTCCTGGCCTCAGCCCCACTCACAAAGACTGCAAAGTCCCGGGGTGCACTGCTGGCTCCTCCGGTGTGTGCCACGGTGGGTGGAGGATGCTGCAGGGTGATGTCGCTTAACTGCACATGACCTGGCAGTCGGATCACCACCTGGCCTTTATCACCTTCAAAAGCCCAGCAGTTTCCAGGGAACACGTCTGGCTGTAGGGGTTTGGGCAGACCATCAGAACATATGACAAACCCCAGACCAGACAGTACTGAGGACTGGAGGGCAGCCTGAGCTGCACAGCAAGACTCCGTCCTAGAGCTGCTGCTCAGCCCAGAGCTCTGCCTTCTGCCCTGGACCTTGTCTAACCACGGGAGACAATGCTGAGTCCCCAGCACTTTACAGTTCTCTTCAGTTTAACTCCATCCTTGGCTTGGCAGGAGCCTTCCCACACCATGCCAGACCCTGTCCCCGGTGGGGCACCTCTTGAAGCCAAACTGATCTCAGCTCCAGTCCTCTCTCCACTAAGTTGATTCTTGCCCTCACCCTGGCTCGGCCGTTGTTACCATCCCCAGCTCCCTGGTTCCAGGCCCACCTCCAGTATGACCGAGGGTGGCCGTGCATAGTTCCAGAAGCTCAAGCGATTCCAGAAGTAGGCAGTGTTGGTGTCCTCATAGTCACTGGACGTCTTCTCCAGGTCGATGGAGGCTCCTAGAATGGGCAGAAGTCCCTTTCAGAGGCTCCTAGGCTTTCTCAGCAATGAGGTTGTCTATGACTCGCCCCCTCCAGTCTGTTTCTTCCCACATATCTGTGTCTTACCCACAGAGCTCAGTGCATAGTCAGGTTTCCGAACGAAGTCCTCATTCAGCCTCTGGAACACGAGCTTGGCCACTCTCTAAAGAGGCAGAGAGGGTGGACCAGGAGGATTTCGGGCTAGTTTACATTGGGCCGGCTTCTCAGTAACTCAATATCCAGAGATAGGACCTTAAGGGCCTTAAGAGTCCCCACAGTGGGTGTCTGGGTGAAGATTCATCTCAGGACCCAGGATGTGGTAGTTCCAAAGAGCGTCCTTGAGTGGTCACAGCTGGGCCCCTGAGCCCCCATGCAGGGACTCACCTCACTGTGGGCTGCACGAACGCTGGACACCTCCTTGTGGAGTTTATTCAGTTCTGCCTGGAGCCGCTGCAGCTGCTGGCCCTGAGAGTGCACGCGCTGGTGGTACTGGCTGGAATGGAGATGTAGGCACCATGCGATTAGCTACCTGTCCCTGGGCGCTCCTTTCCGAAGGCCCCCACAGATACATTTCCAGAGCTGCCCCCTTTTACCTCAGAGTCAGCATCTCCTTAGGTTCCTGGGGAGGGAGGGACAAATAAGCATCCTTCTCCCAAGTCAGCAGGGTGTGGCCAGACTCACGGCCTCCCTTTTTGAGAATGACCCCCCTTTCCTCCCACTCTCAGTTGGCCTCTGGGGATTACGCTCAATGCTCTACCCTGCCCCCTCCCAGTAGCCCAGGGATGCCCCCCCCATGCAACCTCCACCCCACCTGGGGGCTTGGTCTCCCCAACTCACATTCTCCAAAGGGGGGACCAGGTACAGGAGACCCCACCAGAGTGCTGGAGAGAGAGAAGGGCATCCTCTGGTATAAGGGGACAGGGAGGAAACCAAGGGGGCTGGGGTGGCGGCTGGGGCCGCAGAAGGACGGTGAGAGGCCAAGCAGGGGTCACTAGAGTGGGCAGAGGGGCACAGGGACAGGTGAGCTGGATTTGGCTGCAAACCTGCAGAGCTGGGGCCCCAGGGAACCAAAGCTCCTCACCTGCCAGAAAGACACTCAGAAGCGACGCAGTAGTGAACAGGAAGCGGATGGAACAGACCTCCCTGAGGAACCGGGATGGCAGCTGATGCCTTGAGGCCCTAACTCACCCTAGCCTGACCCCAGGGTCCTAGACCCAGTTCCCGGGAACTCGACCAGATACGAATCCGCTCAAGGCTTGGTGGGGCCCAGACCTACTGCCCGTCCCTGCCCCGTCCTCCTCTGACCTGTAAACACTGACCAGCACGTCTCCTGCCACCGATAACAACACGCTCAGCACCTGAAAGAGGAAGCCTGGGGACCGGGACAGAGAGGGCGAACCATGAGGGGTGAAGTGGTGCATGTTCACAGAGGTTCGGGAGGGACGGGGGCGCGGGGGGTGGTGGTGGGGGGGGGGCAAGGTCCTGGGTCTCAGGAGACAAGAGTGGGCTGGAAAAACGAGCTGAGGCTGGACACTCGGCCCCCGGCTCGGGCAGGAGAACTGGGGTTCCGAGTGCCAGGTCAGAGGGGATCGGGCTGGATTCTTGGAGCCGGGCTCGGGCAGGAGAACTGGGGTTCCGAGTGCCAGGTCAGAGGGGATCGGGCTGGATTCTTGGACCCGGGCTCGGGCAGGAGAACTGGGGTTCCGAGTGCCAGGTCAGAAGGGATGGGGCTGGCCTGGCTCGTACTCAGGAAGCTCTTCGACACCCGCGGGGTAGGCATCTCCTGCCTCAGATCCAGGGCGGGGAGAAAGCTGAGCTGCTCCTCCAAGCCTGCCGGAGATCCAGCCGGTTCTGCGGGAAGCCCAGGGCTTCATTGAGGTCTTGTGCACGCAAGCTCGCACTTCCCCCGGGGCCCGGGCGCAGGCTCCTGAGTCTGGTGCCAGGCAGCCGGGCAGCCTCTCAAACAGGCCTTGAGCCTGCCGCACCCCCCCCGTGCCACGCCCCCTGCGCACCCCGAGACCCGGGGCGGGGGAGCCGCAGTCAGCAGAAGAACCCGCCCGGTGAGGCCGGGCCCGGGTCCGGGATGCCACTCACGCCGGCGCTGTGGCGCCTCCTCAGCCATGCCCAGTCACAGGATCTCCTCCGCCCCCTCCCGGGACCGGCCATGGCACCGTGCCTCGCCCCTCAGGGACTCGTGTTGAGCGCGCCCCCTCAGGCGCGAGGCCGGAACTGCACCCAGGTCCGCGTCGGGCCCCGCCCCCGCGAGCCCGCCCCGCCCTCTCGCCCCCGGGCTCGACCCCGCCCGCACCCGAGGCCCCGCCCCTCACGGTTGCCGCGCCACAGGCGGTCTGCCCATTGTGGCTCCGAGGCGCCGGCTTCGGCCGAGAGCTTCCTGCCCGTGGGGCTCCTCCGGACGCTTCTGGGCTTAAGGCGGGCTCAGCACAGCTCGAGCCCCGGGCCCTTCTGCCCTCGGGCTGCTCGAGCTCCGGCCCCGCGGAGCGGGGCCCATTGCTGTCCCCCGAAGTCACGCTGTGGGAACTGCTGCTGTTGTCGCTGGAGAAGTCGGGTGCTTGCTTGTGAGAGGATGCGGCCGAGCCTGGGCGGGGGCTCCGCCGCATCCTTTCCTGGGGCCGCCCGCCCCCCGCCCCGGGAAGCCGCAGTCGCCGCAGCCAAAGCCCTCGGCCCTCCCTCAGCTGCCGCGCGCCGCCGGCCGGGTCCGACCCTGCGTGAGCCCCGGGCGGCGCGGCCGACTCAGCCCTGGCGTCTGCGACCTGCCCGCTGCTGCCGTCACAGAGGAGCTGTGTCACAGAGCCGCCGTGACGTCACTGGGAGCCCAGCGACTCCTGCGGTGGTTTTGTTTTTTTTTTTTCCTGACCTTTTGGTGTATGGCTTCGTGTGTGCGTGTGTGTGCGTGTGCGTGTGTGCGTGTGTGTGTGTGCGTGTGTGTGTGTGTGTGTGTGTGCGTGTGTGTGTGTGTGCGTGTGTGTGTGACCGGACGTTGATGTCTGCTGTCTCCAGTCGCTCTCCACCTTCGTTTTTGAGATAGGGTCTCTCTTACTGAACCCGGGGCTCACCGTTTTTTCCCGCTAGGGTCTGCAAGACCCCATGGATCCTCTTGTCTCCGCTCCCCCCGAGCTTTTGATTACAGGCGTGTGCCTTAACACCCTTCATTTCTGTGGGTTCTGGGGCGAACAAGTCAGGTCCTCAGGCTCAGGCAGCAAGCAGTTTGTACACTGGGCTATGTCAGCCCCTTCCCTTTGTTTCTGAGCCAAACCAGCGAGTCCTAGGCATGACAGGCCCCTGAGCTCTGGCCTAGCTTTTTACTGGAGTGCTGAGTCCGCACTTGGGTCCTCAGGCTTCCGCTGTAAGGACTCCGATGACTGCCATCTCCCCAATCCTTTATGTATTTTGGACATGAGGTCTTGCTATGTGTCTCTGCTGGCCTGGTACTGGCTATGTAACCCATGATGATCCTAAGTGCCTGTCATTCCCACTGCAATGTTAACTTAGGAGGATTTTTTGTTGTTGTTGTTGGGGGATGGTGTTTCAAGACAAGGTTTCTCGGTGTCTTTGAACTCAATCTGGCAGTCCTTGAACTCGATCTGTAGTCTAGGACTCAGAGTTCCCACAGCTTCTACCTCCAGACCTCCAGATTAAAGATGTGCCACCACCGCTGGCAAGGATGGGGATTGTTGTTGTTGGTTTTGTTCACTTCTGTATCCTTCAAGATAGGTCTAGCCTATAATGAGTGCCCAGGTACTTAGGAATATTTAGTAAATATTAAGAGGGAGCAGAGCATCATTAAACACATAAAAAAATACTATGTTTTAATCACCCCTCTATTTATTTTTTAAAGAGTCTCACTATGCAGCCAAAGCTGGTCTGGTGCTCAGCTCTGCCTGCCTCTGTCTCCCAACCACTGGGGTAAAAGGCAGGACCACACTTCCAGCGCTCGCGCGCTCTCTCTCTCTCTCTCTCTCTCTCTCTCTCTCTCTCTCTCTCTCTCTCTCCTCTCTCTCTCTCTCTCTCCTCTCTCCTCTCTCTCTCTCTCTCTCTCTCTCTCTCTCTCTCTCTCTCTCTCTCTCTCTCTCCTCTCTCTCTTCCCCCTCTCCTCTCTCCCTCCCTCCCTCCCTCCCTCCCTCCCTCTCCCCCTCTCTCCCCTCTGTGGTGTATGTGTGTGTCTGTAGATTAGGGGACAACTTTTGGGAGTCAGTTTTCCCTCTCCACCATGTGGGACCCAGGAATCAAATTCAAGTCTTCAGACTTGGCAGCAAGTGCCTCTATCCACTGAGCCATCTTGCCATCTTAGAATGTACATTTAAGCAACTACATGCTCAGTCCTAATTAAGGTCCACACCAGAAAAATGAATGGTGCTAAAAAAACAGCAGAAGGCAACCTTGGTGGGTTGGAGCCAAGGGCCCTAGAAAGCCATGCCATGTGACAGAACTCATGAGGCAAATTTATTGGGGGAGGGGGGAAAGGAACGCAAAGTGCACCTCTGGGGATAAGGGCTGAGGAGAGGAGAAATAGAGGAAGAGAAGTGAAGAGGCAGGAGAGGGGGAAGAGAGGAGGTGCAGATGCGGCCTCATGTGAAGAGAGAGAGGAAGAGAGGTGAGGGAGGTATTTGCTGCTGTGGGATGGTTTTTCTGCATGCTGTGAATATGTGTTGCTACTATTGGTTAATAAAGAAGCTATTTTGGCCTATGGTAAGACAGGGTAAGAGCCAGGCGGGAAATCTAAGAGACATACTGGGAGAAGAGGGCAGAGTTAGGGCAGATGCCTAAAGGATGGCCTCTTATAGTTATCAATTTAAAAGACTTTCTTCCCAATACTTTTACAAGAAAAAGACAGAGAAAAATTTGCCTTCACGGTGCCTACTTATAATAATTCTCAGCCAGTTAAGAGATAGCAATGGGAGGTTCTTCCACAGGGAATAATAAATAGCCCAACCCTGTGCCGATATTTTGTACAACAGCCATTGGAAGTGATATGTAAACAGTTTCCTCAATCTATAATTTACCATTACATGGACGACATTTTACTAGCTGATTCAAATGCAGATACTTTAGAAAGAATGTTTGAAGAAGTAAAGAAAAATTTGCCTTGTTAATTACAAATTGCTCCTGAAAAGATACAAAGAGGAGAGTCTATTAATTATATAGGATGTAAAATAGGTCTACAAAAAAATTAGACCCCAAAAAGTGCAAATTAGGAGAGATGGATTACAGACTCTTAATGACTTTCAAAGGTTATTAGGAGATATTTCCAATCTGAGTACTATTGGGGTAAAAAAATGATGAACTGAGAAATTTGTTCAAAACCTTAGAGGGTGACAAGGACTTAAATAGTCCAAGAGAATTATCAGCTGAAGCTGAGAAAGAATTGGCTTTGGAGGAAAAGAAAATGTAGGATGCACATATGGATCATTTGGATCCAAAGCTTGATTACATTTGGGTTATTTTAACCTCTAAGCATTCTCCTACAGGAATTTTAATGCAGAGGGAAGATATTATATTGGAATGGATATTTCTACCAAATTAAAAACTTATGTGGAAAAGATCTCTGAGTTGATTTCAAAAGGAAAATTGAGACTTCATCAATTAGCAGGAATAGACCCAGCAGAAATTGTAGTACCTTTAACTAATGATGAAATTGACAAATTATGGGCAGAAAGTAAACCTTGCAAAGAGCTTGCAGTAATTTTTGGGGAGAGATTAACAACAAATATCTCAAAAGCAATGGAATTAAACTTATAAAGAGAACTAACTGGATATTGCCCTGAATTGTACGGGAAACACCAATTCTGGAGCCCCTATATTTTATACTGATGCAAACCAAAAGGGAAAGGCAGGTTACAAATCAGAACATTTAAGTAAAGTGGTTCAAAGTCCTTATAATTCTGTCCAAAAATCGGAATTATATGCCATTCTAATGGTACTAATGGATTTTTCAGAAACCCTCAACATAGTTACTGACTCTCAGTGTGCAGAAAGAATGGTCTTACACATTGAAACTGCTGAATATTTCCCTGATGAGTGAGAATTAACTTCATTATTTATTCAGTTACAAGAAATAATCAAGAATAGGAATCATCCTTTATATATAACTCACATCCAATCACATACGGCTCTGCCAGGCCCTCTTGCACAAGGTAATGACAAGATTGATCAGTTATTGATAGGAAATGTGCTGGTGGCCCATAAAAAACATCATGTCAATAGTAAGGGTTTAAAAAAGGATTTTTCCGCCGGGCGGTGGTGGCACACGCCTTTAATCCCCGCACTCGGGAGGCAGAGCCAGGCGGATCTCTGTGAATTCGAGGCCAGCCTGGGCTACCAAGTGAGTTCCAGGAAAGGCGCAAAGCTACACAGAGAAACCCTGTCTCGAAAAACAAAAAAAAAAAAAAAAAAAAAAAAGGATTTTTCCATAATATGGCAACAAGCCAAGGAAATGATAAGAAAATATCGTACTTGTTCTTTACACAATCAAACTCCAGTACCAGAAGGATGTGTTTCACTTTGAAAAAGCTGATTCTGTAATCATGCATTTGCTAGAAGTTATGGCCATCATGGGTATTCCTGTACAAATTAAAACTGACAATTCTCCAGCATATGTCTCTGGTAAAGTGAAATAGTTTTTTGCTTATTACAATACAAAGCATATTACAGATATACCACATTATTCTATAGGCCAAGCAGTCATAGAAAGATCAAATCGAACTCTAAAGGATATGCTAAATAAACAAAGGGGTAACAAAACCTCCCAGAAATAGGTTACATAATACCCTATTAACTTTGAATTTTCTCAATGCTAATGAGAAAGGAACAACAGCTGCAGAGAGAGATTGGATAATAGGAAAAAAACTACAGAATTAAACCAGCCTGTACGCTTTAAAGATGTGCTGACCTCAGAATGGAAACCAGGATATGTGTTACGTTAGGGACAAGGTTTTGCTTTTGTTTCCACAGGAGAAAAAAGCTATGGATACCATCAAAATTGATAAAGGTTTGATTTGAACAAGACAGACCTCTTAATTAGAGGAGGTGATAGTTCATTAACCAGCATGACCATTCAATTTAAACTAACTTATAAAACTAACAAATGCTTTTCATTTGCTCAAATATAACTTGCCAGAAGGGAACCTCCACAAAGTTAGGGTTGGGGAAGGGTTTTGTTTTTGTCTTTCAGGAGAATGAAGGCTAAGGAATCTGAAGAACACTAGACAAATGAGACATCTTAAGGAAAAGGACAAATCATCCAGAAAAAATGTCCTAAGAAAAAGAGTAAATTGGCCTATTCGTATATCACATATCTAACAGGATAAAATTTCATAAACCTTCCTAAATGTTTGTTTCTGCTGTTCTCTACAGACACATAATGCAAATGGTCCCTATGTATTCCCAGTTCAATTAAAAATTAAGGCTGTCTTTGGAGTTGGAGTGTGGCTCTTTCCTCTAAACCCAAGCATGCTTGTTAAAAGAAAATACAAAATCTCTGTATCATATCAGAAGAGCCACCTGATATGGGACAGAAGAAAAACCAAGATTAAGGTACTATTCTATTGCTATTAATCTCATGATCCTTTGGTTTTATTTTGACTCATAAACTTTTCTTCTTTCCTTCCTTCCTTTCTTTCTTTCTTTTTCTTTTTTCCCCTCTGAGACAGGGTTTCTCTGTGTAGCTTTGGAGCCTTTCCTGAAACTCACTCTGTACTCAGGCTGGCCTTGAATTCACAGAGATCCACCTGCCTCTGCCTCCCGAGTGCTGTGATTAAAGGCATGTGCCACCACTGCCCAGCTAAACTTTTAAGGTATGAATTTTATATCAAAATTTATAAGATTAATATATGTATATATATATATATATGTATATATTTTAAACTTTTGTCATGATATTAATGGTCATATAGAGTACTAACTAATTCTAGAAAAAAGGCTTCATTAGCTTCCTGTACATGTTTTCGTGTTTGAGTCTCTATCAGTTTTCTGCAGTGAACCATGACCATGCCTAACAGTGACTTTGAAGTTTTCAAAAAGATGATGGGACCCCACAATGATGATTCCATCAGGATGATGATAACACCACCAAGCTGACAAATATCACCCAAAATTGGCTTTGGATTCCAAACTGCCCAGGACAATATCAAGATGGCTAGCTGAGGTGACACAAACCCACAGACTACTCCAATCAGGACCTGACCATAATCCTAAATTTTCTTTGTGTCCCCAAAAGACTACCAGTGCCCCCAATTAGCAGGAAGTAGCTTAGAAAACTGCATCCATATTCCCCCAAAAATGGATTATGGATGTTTGTCTTTGTTTAGGATTTGGTTAAAAATTGTTATTGGTCATAAATCAATCTCTTTCTAGAAGAAGAAAGGGGGATATTATATAGAAATATATTATATAGAAATGATAGGATAAAAAGGTAGATTATTGAATTTACTCTGAAAAAAAGGAGAATATGGATATGATAAGAGAAAAAGGTAGATTATTGAATCTACTCTGAAAAAGAAAAAGGGAGATTATGGGTATGACAAGATAAAAAGGTAGATTATTAAATCTAATTTTAAAAAGCAGCTACTAGTTTTAAATATTTTACATTGGATTGCATTTTTGTGTATTGTATACAAATTTTGTACATATATAGATACAAATTTGAGATTATTTTTGTTAGAACATACTGTGCATATGTTTCTAATCTTGTTCAAGGTATTGTACCTATACAACTCATTTAACAATGTAATGCAATTTTCTAGTCCCTGAAAGTTATTATTGCCAACTAATATATAAAGAAATGCAAGTTAGTAGTTAGTCATTACAATCAAACTTATAGTAATGTTACTCAAGTTTTCAAGGTCAAACAGAGATATATTTTAGGTAGACAGGCCATCTTCAAACACTTCAGAGATCTACAGAACATGACATTTAAGATGTTTTAGTAACAGATTCTTTTTTTTAATGACGATGTGACATGTCTGCTGGCATGCACCAATCTACTTCAGAAAAGATGATGGGC